CCTATAAATGATGGGTATTTTTTTAGCCATGCATGTTGTATTTTATTTTGACTGCAGTGGTTGTTGTGGTGTTTTTGTTTTGTCAAATCTCACCAAAATGGAATAAAGTACAAATGATTAATCTGAAGCTGCTCTTTTGACTTTTCCTAATTTTTTTTCCCTTATCTTTTTTTCTACATAGCATATGGTAACTTTCACCTTCTGTGTGTGGTGCATTTTTTGTTATTGCTGTGTATGTTTTCCCTTTTTTGCTGTGTGCAGTGTATTACAATTTCTTACTTGTGTGGAGTTGTTTTTGCTACTTCTGCTGCTTCACTCACAAAAAAAGCCCACTTTGGTCACAAAATGATTTATGATTTTGTTTATTTTTATGTTCCTTTCCAGAGGTTCGAACAGGGCTTTATCACAGACCCAGTTGTAATGAGTCCGCGTCACACGATTGGAGACGTGTTTGAGGCCAAAGTAAGACACGGTTTTTCGGGAATTCCCATCACGGAGACGGGAAAAATGGGCAGCAAGCTGGTTGGGATCGTCACCTCCAGAGATATCGACTTCCTCTCTGAGAAGGACCACGGCAAACCCCTGGAGGAGGTGTGCTACTTAACATTTCTGGGGTTTTTTCTACACATTGATTTTGTTTGGTTATCGTAATCATGCTTGTAATCTTCCAGGCTATGACGAAAAGAGAGGACTTGGTGGTAGCTCCAGCTGGCGTCACGCTCAAAGAAGCCAATGATATTTTACAGAGGAGCAAAAAAGGTAAACATTGGCGTGTTAAAGCAGAGCTTCTTGTGTTGCTTCCTGAGCTCATTTTGACGCTCTCATTTCAGGCAAGCTTCCCATTGTGAATGATAATGACGAGCTGGTGGCCATTATTGCCAGGACAGATCTGAAGAAGAACAGAGACTACCCGCTAGCATCAAAAGATTCACGCAAACAGCTTCTCTGTGGTGCCGCCATCGGCACCCGGGAGGATGACAAATACAGACTGGACCAACTGGTGCAGGCCGGGGTTGATGTGGTTGTGCTGGTAGGCATTATTTCTATTTATACATGTGTATATATACACATGTGTCTATTTATGTTTTATGATTACTATTTTAGGGGAAAGGTGTCCTTTTGTAGCAGTGCTTGAGAAACGGGCCTGTTGGAAGATGAATCATCATGATCTGTCGCAGTTTGTTCATGTCAGGACGTGAAGTTGCTGTCAGGAGAATTTTAGTTTGTCATCCCTCCAGCGTATTAAGCCACAGCGCACCCTCTGGTGGCCGTCGCTGACCACTGCGTTACTTTGTGAACTTTTGAAGAATTGTGCTGGATAAATACACTACAAATCGTAGCCGATTCTGACTACAAACTGCAGCTCTACAGCCATTGAAATACTTATAAAACCTTAAAAGTAAAATCTTTATGTTGTGGTTTTCTAATAATGATCTTCTGTTAAAACATTAACATAAATATTTCCCTTCTACATTCTGTCAGGTCTGTAGTTTTTTTAGGTCCTATATTTAAAACCCAACCATACTAGAATTATCTGTTCAGGATTCATAATAAACTTCTATATTTATTTTTAAGAAAGGACCTAGAACTCTGAAATTTTAAGTCATGTTGCAATCACAATGATACTATTGTTTTGTAATGTAAAACCCACACATATTTTGTCCATATTTTATTCAGAACTTTCTGAAGTTTGGTATAAATTTATCTAAAATAAAAAATGTTTCTGTATTTCCAGGATTCTTCACAGGGCAACTCAGTGTATCAGATCAACATGATCAGCTACATTAAACAGAAGCATCCTGAATTACAAGTCGTGGGAGGAAATGGTGAGTTTGTTGCAATTGGAAATAGCTGAGTATCTGGGTTAAAAGTTAAAATCAAGCAACTGCTAACGGTTCTTGAAACTGTCTTGCAGAATGACAACTTTGTAAGACAATAGAATTTCTGCTGTTTTACTCATTTATTTATTTTTTCCCGCAGTGGTTACAGCAGCCCAGGCCAAGAATCTGATTGATGCCGGTGTGGATGCTCTGAGGGTCGGGATGGGTTGTGGCTCCATTTGCATCACGCAGGAAGGTACTTGACAACTGAGCACAAAGATGGCAGCGCAGAAAAGTTTGCAGTCCGCTCATCACTTGCAAAGCTATGGGACTGCAGGTCCACTACAGCAGACTGTCCTGCCCTCCATCACCTGTATTTGTTTATTTCTCTTAATTCCTTTCAGTGATGGCCTGTGGGCGTCCTCAGGGAACCTCTGTGTATAAAGTAGCAGAGTACGCGAGACGTTTTGGCGTGCCGGTGATTGCGGATGGCGGTATTCAGACAGTGGGCCACGTGGTGAAGGCTCTGTCTCTGGGAGCATCGACTGGTGAGGCCCAAATGTTCACCAGGAGAAACAGCCCCGTCCAATTTTTAGCTACTTCATGCCACTGTTTAAATATCTGTTATCACACCACAGTTATGATGGGCTCCCTGCTAGCTGCGACTACCGAGGCTCCTGGAGAGTATTTCTTCTCAGACGGCGTGCGACTGAAGAAATATCGGGGTATGGGATCTCTGGATGCGATGGAGAAAAGCACCAGCAGCCAGAAGCGCTACTTTAGGTGTGTAGGAGCTAAAACGTCTTAAACACAAATGTTATATTTGGGTGAAGTGAGTCCTAAGCCGGTGATGTCTTCTCTGCAGTGAGGGTGACAAGGTGAAGGTCGCTCAGGGCGTGTCGGGCTCAGTCCAGGACAAAGGGTCCATCCATAAATTTGTACCATACCTCATAGCTGGAATCCAACATGGCTGCCAGGACATCGGAGCAAAGAGCCTGTCTGTCCTTCGGTGGGGTTTCTGTTTTACTTGAAGCACATGTGTAATATTTATGTATAACCACATTAAAGTAATTAGATTTTTTTTTCTTAGTTCTATGATGTACTCTGGGGAACTGAAGTTTGAGAAGCGAACTATGTCCGCACAGGTTGAGGGAGGCGTTCATGGACTACACTCGTAAGTATCTTCAAAAAATAGAAGTATAATTCTATTTCTGAAGTCTGTCTTCAAGCTGAACAACCTTCTCCAGTTCTGCTGATCTTTTTGTTTCTTTGCCTCCACAGTTATGAGAAGCGACTTTACTAAATGGAATTTAAGGAAGAGTGAAGGAGATCCAATCTGACAGTGACCAAATGTTTTAAAAACTTCTGCCAAAATCCGCAACAACACCCTCTGCTTCCTCTGCGTTAAGCCCACTCACTCACTTATCACAAACTGCTGATTTGGGGTAGAGGACGGCATCGTAGCAAATGGAGAATCTTCAAACCTACACCGACTCTCTGAACACCTCAGACTTTGCTCTTAAGAAGTGGTGCATCAGGGTTACTGTTGAGTCTTATTTTTTGTTTGTCTCATGAGTGTGCAGCCGTATGCCAGGTTCGTGTGCGTGAGTCTGGTAGTCGCGAGAGAAACAGCAGTGTGAATTTACTGTGTGAGGTTAAGTTGGGACGGAGTAAAGGCGCGCTGTGTTGTATTTGTCCTGTCAGAATCAGCCGGGGCGCAGATCAGCTGCATCATTTTGTGGCTCGTTTTGGGTCCCACGCCTACCAGCAAACGCGCCACTTGAACCTCAACCCATCCCCGTTCAACAACACACAGCGATGTGTGCAGAACACAAGACGGCACGTCTCTGTGCACCGCGCCAGTCTGGAACGGCAAACCTTTCCGAGTAATAATTTTAGGTCATTGCAGATGTATGCTGCTCGTATTACATCACAGGTTATTTACTTGGTGTATAGTACGTTCTTACAATTGAAACGTTAGACATTGTTAATTGAATCAGAATAGTGTGCAGATCTGCAATGGGGGCTTTTTTTTTCTTTCCTCTTTGGAAATTCAATCATTCTGAGCCAAATAACCCCATCTCAGTGTTTTATGATTTATTTAACATGGAGGGCACCAAAAGCTAATGAACATTAGTTTTGTTTAGGATGTATAATGGGTCAATCATAAACACTCAAAATGACTATTTCCTTGGTCGTAATCTGAATTTTTTTTCAGAGAAAAACTTTATATTAAACCTGTAGAGTCCTGGCGACTTTGATTTCAGCTGGAAGGTTTTTGATAATGCATGTTTTGTTTTTTTTCACTGAGCCAAGCGTGGCTGTGTTTATATTCTGCTTAGATCTCAAACATACTGCCAAGTGTATCTACACTTATGTTTGATTTTACTTTTTTAAACCTTAATACCAAAACTGGTGGTCATCTGTTTCCTTCCCGTCAGACATGGATTGTTGCGTTTTTATCTGTTCACCAGAGGTATGCCTTGAAATAGAGATGGACATGTCGGCGCAGTGTATAGCCACACCTTCTCGCCACATTTTATTTGAGTGTCTTGCGTCGTTTAGTTGATGGTGGAGTTAGAAATTGTTCAAAGGGGATATCCTTGCCATACTTTTACCGTACTTCTTTCTTTTTTTCTCAAACTCAATGACGTTTCTCCATCCCACACAAGATGAACTAACAGTGCTTGTAGCTACAATGACTTTCATGAAAAATGTTCATGAGTGACTGAAGAAAACAAATAGCTACAATAGGTTTGAAGAATATGCTGTTTATTCAAGATTCCCTATTTAAAACGGGTCATTAAGCTGTCCAGGATGTCTTAATTGTGAAGTACTGAGTCCTGTTAGTCCATCCAAAAAGCACAACTGACATTTTATTAATGTTTCTGGTTTGTATGATTTTCAGTTTTCAGTGATTGGCAACACATTTTGCAACCAAAAACCTTCTCTCCCTTTTTTTTGTAAGGGTTAGGGTTGTAAACTGATGGGTTATTATCCATCAGGGGATTTTGAAGATCACTTTAGGATATGTTTACAGTAAAAACTCTCATAAGAGGAAAGTTGCTTTTGTTGTTTTTAATATGTTAAAATAAAGAAATACAATACTGTGCAAGCGCTCCGTCTTTCTTTCCTTTCGTTTCAATGAGATTTATGTGTAATTTTAAGAAAAAGAAGACAAATATTTAATGCTTTATTTCAATTTAAATTAATATGCCAGTCAGGATTGTACAGTGCTGTGAAAAACTACAGATCTCTTTTTTTTGGCACACAGAAATGCTTTAGTTAATCAAACAAAATATTTCTGACAAAGACAACCAGAGCAAACTGAACCCAGTAATCAAACTTGAATTTAGTAAAGGAAACCAATCTGTTAGAACATGAATAAGCTGTTAACACAATTATTGATTCACTTTATATTACCCAGACCGCTTTCTGATTTCTGTCTGAGGAAATGGGCATTTTGATCAATTTTACTGAGCTGCTATCTTAGCCATCTTAAAATTAAAACTCTTGGTGATCTCAAAGAGTTCATGGAAATAATCTGCAGGCTGGTGAGACCAGAGGTCCCCACCCACACAGGGGGCCTTAAAGCGGGTTCCCGAGGGCTGACCAACTTCGAATCGCCACGGAGCCGCGAGTTTTCAACCAGCGTGGTCGACATGCGCAGACCTCCCTGAAGGGGCCCCGTTTCTCGAACCCTCAGCTAGCGCAGCTGCGACTCATCAGAAACTGAGAGAGGGGCATTTTAAACGTGCTAAATATTAAAAGAAGCAACCCGACAGAAGCTAACACATGTGAGTAGTGTTGACTTAACACATAAACTAATTTGGGCACAGAGCTTGTTGGCCTTCAGTTGGGTGATAAACTTCCTCAGGTAAAAGGCTAAAATGATAAACAAAAACTTCATTTGACTCCAGCATATTTTAACTCAAAGTTACAAAGCTAAATTACAGGCAGATTTAGACAACGCACAGTGACAGTGGAAGCTGACTGTTATATCCTACTTTTTATGCTTTAAGAGGTCAAAAAACTTTATTTGCCGTATTATGCTGAAAATGTAGCTCTGAATATTCATAACACAGGCTTCAACAAATAGTTTGAGCTATGTTCATTTACTGCCACTAAAATTAATTAAAAATGTTAATGATACAACAAAGGCTTTTCAGATATTATCCCTTTTGCAAATACATATTTTTCTTTTACCTCTTTAGGGTTGCTGCAAGTTACATGCACTAACATCCAAGGATGGAGCATTGCATGTTGAATTCCAGTGAACTGTAAGTTTGATATCCTATTTGATGATACTCTATAGTTTTATAGTCTTGGTAGTATGCCATGTTTTTTGTTTCTCATTTCAGTTCAGTCATCATGACCCACTTCCGGCACCATCTACAGCAAGGGGGGAATCGACTTCCAACTCTCGTGAAATTCTGGACTTTGTATTTTCTGCCTCCGTTAATCAGAAGGAAGAATAGCAGCATCAATCTCCAAGTGACTGAACAGATATCTGTGAGTTTTCACAATTTCTTTTCAATTCTTAGCACACAGCATATCCTCCAATGATTTTATGTATGTGTGAATGTTTGGCAAAACCCCCAAGAAACTCTAATGACCTTGCTACATCTTGTTACCTGGCAATTTTCAATAAGAATTGCTCAAAACAAACAAAAGGACAAAAAAATAAAATAAAGTGAAGCTATAAGAATGGAATAGTCAAAGTCTTAACTTCTTGCTAGTTGCTCCAAGCTCTTAATGGAACGAAAGTTGTCACAATTATAATGTTTACAGTTGAACCAGTCTTTCACACAGGGCCAGATTGGTTTGGAGAGCTTTTTATTTTAAATCATCTCATTTGAAATGTGAATTTTATATTTGTATTTTATCTCAACCTAACATCAAGATTTGTTTGATTATTTTAAACATTTATGTGTGGCAAAAAAAGAGAAAAAAACTGATGAAATCTGTAAGGGGCTAATACACAACATTGAGGCAGATGCTAAATACTGTTCATATGCCAGCAGAGGGCACTGCTGCACCATACCTCAGAGGAATATGTAGATATGAGATGTTTACATTTGGAAAAAACAAAACATCCAGACTAAGTTTTTGTTATAATAACTAAGGTTATTACAACAGTAGCAGGTAAAAGCTTATATTTGTCACCGTACAACCTATTGGAATGTTGGAATGCAATAAAAACATTTGCACAAATACCTCCTTATTATATCACCACTTAATAAAAGTAACTCTTAATTTAACTAGCATCATCTGCTTTTATAAGACATGTAAAATTTACAAACAGTCTCTTGGCTTTTGACAGTCTTGGCACTTAGACTCACAGGAACATTCACTAAATCCTTAAGAAGTCTTATCAAACCTGAAACATTTTTGCAGCTATATTGTTTAAGAAGTACATAAAGCTGACATGCACTATCAAATACCATTTAAAATTCCAATCATCTTGCTGCACAAAGCAGACTCTCATTTCAGGACCCTCTTAATAAGAGTCTGTTTTCTATAAATCTATAGTCTCACTGCAGATGCTTAAAGAATCCATTTGTCTGCAAACTGTAATGAATTCCTGCTGCACAGATCGATCTGTCTCAGTTGACAGGTTCAGGCTTTCCTGTGAGGCAGCTCCCAGAGCTTGGTAGTGTCTTTGTGGGTTATGGGAGGCCACATTTGAACCTTCCTGTGGAAGCTGCCTTGTATGTCTCTCTGAACTTGGGCAAAGAACAAGAGAGGAGCCAGCAAGAGAGGCATGGTACAGAGAGCAGGATGAGGAACTGCTTCTCCAACGTTCAGCTGATGAATTGCTGGAGGACGAGCCCGTGGAGGGAGACGTTGGAGCTCCTTCTGTGACTACACCTTGAGATTGGCTGGGAGAAAACTGTAGCTGAGAGGCCATTTCAAGGCAGGATGAGGGTCGATAAAGGCTGGAGTCAGTGGAGAGAGGATCACAGGGGCCATTGCTTGGAAGCGTCCATTGGTTGTTTACTGATGTGTCACTGCAGCGAATAGGTCTAACAGGACTGAAGAGGCTGATGGGAAACAATGCTTCACTGAAGAGTGCTTCGTCTATGCTACGGCGCAAGTTGATTGGTGAAGGGGGTCGCAGGTCTGCAGTGGAGTCGCTTGAACACGAAGATACACCTGAGGGCTCTCTGCCTGGCCCGTCCTCAGGTTTTTCTGACCCCGATAACCCTAAGTCCAAGTCGAGATCTCGATATACTAAGGCCCTGTTGCTGTGGTACAGGAGGTCCAAGCCATTCAGGCTGCTTCCAAGCCTCCCATCCATCAAAGTGTAAAGTGGAAGGCTTTCTGTCTCTCCAAGTCCAACAGTGTCAACGATAGCAAGCTTCTCCTGATGGCTGAGTGTCCACTGGTACGTCCCAGGCAGGATGGGGGACTTGGATGCTAGGAGTTCAGTCCAACAACTTCCAGCTGCTGGAAGCTGGTCGGAACAAAAAACTGGTTGAGCAACCACTAAAGCTAAGGTGAGACAGACCAAAAGTTCACACAGTCTACAGCTAAACTGGAAAGCCCACCAGGGCCAAGGGTAGAAGACCTCTTCCCCACCAATTACACCCATAGCATTAAGCATTGCATAAAACTGCAGTCCTGCACAAGCTAAAGAAAACAGTGCTGAAAGACAAACGGTTATAGCTGCACGGTTCCAATCCCGACTCTCAGCAAATGGGCAGCGGTTGTAGCGTTCAGCTGGTGTTGGAGATGTGTTGTTTAGGTGATAGATGTGTTTTGAGTCTGCCCGAACATAGATATAGAAAACAAAATAGGCAGCAGATAAAAATGTTGCGAGTGCCACAAAGGCTCCACGAGAGATCAATGACAGAAAGAGGCACAAAGGGGGCGTTTGCCGGTAGAACTTCAAGAAAGTCACTGGACCAAATGCAGCAGCAAAGTGCAAGACAACTAGACAGGCCAGGAAACAGGGTCTCTGAAAGGCTGAATAGGAGAGCTGCATTCTTGAGCGCATTGAGAGGAGAAGAAAAACCAAACCGAAAGCTGCAGTAAGACAGGGAAAAGGTGCTTCAAAGAGCATTAGCGAGGCCTCTGTGGAGGATATGCGATTCTGGTGGCCATAGGCATCATAAAGCAGGGAGAAGGACCTGGTGCATGCAGCAGCTAGAAGGAACAGGCTGACTAGAGCAAAATAGCCACACCCAGATGGACATCTCAGTGGCAAGCAAAGAAGATTGAGTGCAGAGGCGAGTGTTAGCACTGCAAATACTCCGCCGGCCCCATAAACATGCACCTCCCATGCCAGGCCCCAGGCCGCTATGGCACTGTTCCAGTCAGTGTATAAGGGCACCAACATGGGTGTAGCTGGAATTAGGAAGGCGTTGGTTGACTGGTTTGTGGCAGTGATATTTTGTGTGGGTTTCATTCTCAGAGAAGTAGTGGCATCCCAGGTGTAGGAGAGGTTGCAGATTCCAGAGCGTTCCTTATTGCAATCTGGGAGTAAGGTGCTGTCACTGTTTGGTAGGTTAGATGACCAGTCTTCAGTGTACAGAAGTGATGATGGAGATTCAGAGAGAACACCTGCAGTGACAGATGATGAGACAATTAAATGTACTATGCATATCTGATAGTGTGGATAAAATTTTTATGACAGTCAAAAATCGAGAAGACAGAACAAGAGGATGAAATATTTACAACTCTGGAGGACTGGTCTAAATCTTCTTTCACAACATTTAGCTACTTGTAAGAACAAGAGTGGAAAACAATCTGCTTTGATCCACACTGCAAAAATAATGCTGCCTGTAATGTGCTAATCCTGGAAAAACTTGTAAGTACATAACTCTCAACTGAGCGAGACCCAGAAAAGTGTGTGTGTGTGTGTGTGTGTGTATGTGTGTCACAACCACAGGACTACTTTTTCCTGCATTACATAAGCCATCTGGACTTTCCATGTAACTTACTTATGACCGTGTTCGTCATGTTTTGGCACTACAAAGAAACTCATTTAGCTTTGAGGATATGGGAGTAACCATGTCTGTGTGAAATGTGCAGAAAAGCATTCACGGGCAATGTTGTAGTATGCTAATGTGGTTTGAATGCAAACTAGTTCATACAGAAAGTTTGTCTCTTTTTCAGACTCTACATCACAGAGCTTCTCATGTTTCTGCTTGTTCTTTTTTATAATTATTAAGTGGGCTGCTTTGGCTGAGCTAGAGCAAACCACTGGGAGAAACAGCATCTGATTTGCACACACAGACTCATTAGTGATCTTGCTGCTGGCTTATCAGAGACAATAACACCTTCATGAACAGTCGGGGACTATAATGGACCCCAAATGACAGAAAACAGCAGCCAGAATACACTGACAGCACAGTTAATCACACTGTGGGCAGCTTTAGAGAAGTGTGAAGCATTAGCTTTTTGCAATTCTTTTCATGTCAAAGGGATCTTCCTCACATTTTCTAATTTGTGTAAGTAGCTTCATGAGTTTACACAAACTGAGAAAAACATTGGTTATATTCCATTTAGCAATACCTGGAGAATTCATCAAACCTTGTGGTGCAAGTTTAAAAATATAACTGCAATGAAGTTGTCTTATGTTTTTTTTTCCATCTCCACTAAGTTTTTATTCCGGTTTTGCATTTTTTTTTGTCTCAGGCTCTTCACTTTTGGAAGTTACGTTCCAGAGTTTTTCCCAACCTTTTCCCATCAGTTCAGTGCTGTTGTTTTAATTTTCTTTTGACAAAAATAGGGGAAACACCCATCGGTGAATCTGATGCTACTAAACTTTTTTTTTTTTTTCCCATGTTTTTAAAGTTACATAGTTTTATTTTACAAGTATTAAATGTGCAAGTAATTTAGCATGCTTTATATTATTATTCTAATGGCTTCTCTGTCTTTTAGTTTAAAGACTAAATGCATGACTGCTGCGAGTTGTGTTATGTTAATGTCTGGCTTTTATTATTCTTGTTATAAGAGGAAAACATCCTCACCCTCTAATGCATTTTGCTTGCATCACACAAGGCTCATGAGTGTTCTTCAAACAATATGTGGTCATCTGAAGGTATGTGGAGTAAGAGGATGTTCAAGTAACAATATTAAAGAACACTATCTTGTTCTCCTAGTTGCTTAATATGTTTTTAAAACCATTATTTTTTTTTCTTATGGTTGTCTATATCATTTTTCTTGTTTGTTTTCTGACCTGAGTGTTGGATAACTGTCCCAGGCTTAGATGAAAATTTCAAGCGTACGGAAATATGACCCCACAGTGAGGCACTAGTGCTTCTGTCAGTGTAATACAGCAGCTTTACTTCAGAAAGTCTGCTGTTTTGTCCTGAGTTTTGCCATTTCCCCATGAACGGCAAAAACAACAACAAAACAATAATTAGCCTTTTAAAACAGTTTATTTGTGAATTGATGCACCTATTATTTTTATTATTGTTTTAGGACTTTGCAACAAAATGAAGTTGTTTTTGTATTTTAACCAAAATTATTACGATTGTATATTCCAGTGTGTAAGGAACGTAAGGCATATCATGAGCCTTACAGTCACACTAGTCAGACTGAAAAAGGATGTTACGCAGCCATTAAATCAGCAAACCAACTTCTTTTTGGTCTGAATAAATTTAAATTATAATGTCTTACAATTTGACAATTTTCAACCAAATTTCCAAATATAGTCATCGAAATATTCAGCTGATTATTTGAAATGCAACACATTTCACACAGAAGTCTGAGTTAGCCTGAAACAGAAGATGGAAAGCACATATAAAGCTAATACTGTTTTGTGTTACCAAAATAAAAATAGTCACAGTGGACAAAAAAATAAAACTACAATTAAAGTATTGCATCAAAAATGCGCTTGTGGTTGCTTTTTTTTAAATAGAAATTATGCCTAGTACTCAGGGTAGCTAACTAGGTTTTCCTCTTGTTGCTAATTAGCAGAGTTGGGATTGAAAGGTCAGCAATGAGAGGCAGAATCAGGCTACAGGATGTCTTGCTGAATGCTACAGAGACCCGTGTTGAAAGTGCATGGTCTCATATTACAATAAAACATAATGAACTTGGTGATCAAATGAAAATGTTAAGGCAAATTAAAAACCTACACTTGCCATTTTATCAACATATTTGTCAAATACTCCAACAATATGTTTGTTCTGTGATTTTGCCACATTTAGTAGTGGTACAAAAAATTTGGCTGAAGTGTAAAACAAACACGCAACAGTAGGTATTTTAAACGTGGGTGCTGTTGATAAAGTAGGTGGGGATAGGAACAGTGTGAGGTCAGTGACTTGTCTAGCCGTTTGTTTACTTTTCAGGGCAATGGCTTGGAAGCCAGCGGGTTAGACTGAGTGGAAACAGTGATGAATTAGGCCCATATTTTTCTTCTTTGCTCTTGTCAGCTGGTGTCACATTTGATCTGCCGGCTTGCTGTGTGGGTGCCTACGGTACATGGACAGATGGGAGCTTGACATTCCACTTCATGCTGCTTGGTTATCTGACACATTCCTGTGTTAACAAGTCTCTCGTGTTAAGCTAAGTTGACACATGAGAAGCAGACGGAAAAGTAACCATGATGGATACCAAGGGAAAGATTATAAACATTGTAGCGAACAAAAAGAAGATGCTTTCATGTAGGCTATTGTATTTAGTACCCCCAGATTCATTCATCCAACACATATTTGAATGAAAGTATAATAATAGTTTTCCAGTTTTTTTCCCTAAAAAAAGAAAAGTATGTCATGCAGTTCAGTTTTACTATTAGTTTAGGTGGATGGGCAGCCAATGGTGTCATACCCTTTTTATTTTTGGAGATGTGCAACAAGTCTCCGCAATCTGCTGGGTATCCTTAGGTAAAAACTTACTCGGGATAACTGAGCATACTGTGCTATTGGACCAATTGGAATATACTGTATGTATGATTGCATTGAAATGATTTTTTGTAAAGTACCTTGACATGACATTTGTTGTCAGGTGATGCTATATAAATAAACAAACTTTTATTGAAAATTGGCATAGCAAAGTGTTAATCATGGCATTACCTCTTTGACCAAATTCACATGGTTTATATCATATATAACTAAACTGAGACGTTTCTTTCAAATATTTGATTAAGACTTCTAATAAAAATGTGGAAAAATCATATTGTGCACATGGCTGTATTCATTTTCTAATTTCTTTCAGTCTCAAGTTTAAAGACTACAGTGTCTCACTTGAGGCACCTAACCTATAGCTAAGGGAAAGTAATACATACAAAGAACTCTTTTTATCGTCAAGGACTATAAAACCCATTTCAATCTTGTACTGGCTGCAAGTTTATTCTGCCTCATGAAACTAAAATCTTTGTGTAGATGGAAGCTATTTGTCTTTGTTTTCAGATGGAAAAGCAATTGAACGGGAGCGCTGAGGGAAGTTAGATTAAACATTATGAGAAGGAGGACAAGTTTACTTCAGGGTAATTGTGAAACAACAGCAACTTCTTAAATAATTTATTATGCAGTGAAAAGAGACTTGCTGTCAAGAGTGTGTCTAACAACAAATTTGGTTCTTCAGTCTCTTTGGGTATTCACAGACTTAGAATATTTGTCGTTTTTTCCCCCGCTCACTTTTGACCTACTAGATTAAATGGCACGTATCTCTTCATTATTAACGTGTGGAAAATTCGACAGGTCTATTTTTGAAAATCACATCACATCATCTGCTATTCTGGGTGAGGTAATGTAGGTTACATCTGCTGCTGTGATCTGGGCCAAAAGTGGATCCATTCAAAAATGTATCTGAACAGAAACAAGTTTAATAATTATGTACATTTACAATCGACCAACACATAAAACAGGCTTTATGAAAATATTTTATCATTTGACATTATGCAAATATTTTATGGACCTAAACTTTTACACTTCAAACAATAATGAGGATAATGTAACTAACTACCACTATAATTTAAATTGACACCTGGAATATTTCCTGAAAATACTTCAATTTGGATAGATATAAAATCATAGTGAGAGTGAAAGACGGCATGGGGTTGAAGTACGAAGAGATGATTTTTATCTTTTATTTCTTGTTGATTTAAAGCTGTTTTTTATTTGCAGTGTGGGAATATTTTATAAATTCTGCTCTAGCTGGAGTAACTATCTCTGTGTGTTGTATTACTTGTATCAGTGACTCCATTTGTCGCCCAGTTTCATCAGATTTTAGAAAGAAATAGTTTATTTGAAAAAAATGGCAGCCTTTTATGTAATCAGTTTATAAATAATGTGCTTATTAGTTTTGTTTGTTTTTTGTTTTAATAGTAGCTTGCTTGTCTTTGAACCAATTCTTTATATCTGAGGGCAGTTCTGGGGCGTATTTGTTCAGTGGGTGGCCATCGATCCCTATCTTTCCTGCTCTCTGGTGTCCTCTTAAAGAGCCAGCTTGTGTGAGCAGCTTTCCTCTCCCATTGGAGGCAATTAATGGTTACAAGGAAAGGACGCAGGGTACTTGGCACACATTTTCAGGTATAGAAGCATGCAGGGTAGCTTATATTAAAAAAAAGCAGCAAGCAGTCTTAATTAGTTGAAAATAAATCACTGAACAGGACTGTAATTTAAAAGAAACTCTGATTTGTTGCTGATGTGTTTTCTTACCTGTGTTGTGTGGCGTGGATGTTCTCAGTAGCTCTGCAGATGATGTGGAAGTGTCTGTCAAATGTGTGTCAGCATCCCCATCTGTAGTTGAAGTAACCACAGCTTCATCCTCTTCCTTAGTGTCTTTGCCTGGTAACTCTAGGAAGACACACGCAGTTTCACCTCATAGTGATCTCAACGTAATTTAATTCATGAAGCACTGCATCTCTGGAGTAGAAAAGTAGATTAGTAGACCTGAAGCTTTCCAAAGGATAGCTTAACCATTTCTTTACTCTGCACACAGCATATCTGAGACTTAACTCTGTAGAAAATGGGACGACTACATTTCTCAACCCAGTTCTGTCAAGAATTGGTCTATCAACCACTTAGTTGCAGGCATCCATCCATAGAACAGTAGACTGGGCCTTTTGTGGTCTAATTACATTGACATCCTTATGTGGATGGGTGTGTACATCCTGGCTCACTACAAATATAGACTCTTTTCTAATGTAACCAGAAGTATTTGTTTTAGAAGATTTTTCACGATTAAGCAAAATAAAAACACCTTTATTTGTATGTTTGTATATCTTTGTAACTTTTTTATATTTTCAGCATTAAATACCAATCCTACCAGGTACGGCTATGTGAAAAGGTTTTTAAACCACAGTTTGGTAACTCCCTCAAAGAAAATGAGGAAAATAATTATCACGTGTGTATGAAAATACAAACCGGAATAATCTGATATTAGTCAGTGGTACAATTCCAGTCAGAAGTTTACAAAAACATAAAGATCAATAAAAATATTATTAATGTGGAAGATTTCATGATTTATTTAAAACATTCTAAATTTTCTATGCAGCACACAAAATTATTGATTGATAAGAGGACAAGTGGAGATTTGTTTGGTTAAGTGTAGTTTCAGGGTTTTGTAAGGATGTAATGTTCAAACCTGAATTAAATGTTGTTCCAAAATGTAAAATATAATTCTTCTTGATTAAGACAAATGCACTGGTGGATCAGCTGTGCAGTTAAAAACACATAAAGATAGGCTTTTAAAAATTGATGAGAGGGTTACTGCTCAGTGCAGCTCAGTGCAGTTTCTCAGATCTGGTTACAGACCGGATCACATGTGCATGTGACAGGAAATTACATTATGTATAATAAAATCTGCTGCAAATGCTTTAATGAGAGCAAACATGTGCACAAGCTGACTTAATCCCGTAAGAACAGTCAGAGTCCGGCCTATTAGCTCATCATAGGCAACTGTTCTAATGATCGACTGCTTGTACAGAATGCTTAAATAGCAAAATAAAAACACAAGGGGTTGTAAGGAAAGCTGAAGAAGCTAAATCTCCTCTTTAGTTGCTATTCAGGTCACTCTTTCATGTTAGTGCCAAATTATTACTTTAGTGCCTAGTGAGTTTGTGAATAATCTGTTTTATCATGTCCTAAAGAGGTCAGATAGCTCAGTTTCCTTAACCATTTTTAAGAATGTGAAAGATTTTAATTTTTTGACATTGCATCAAAAAAGTCAAACACTTACCGTAGATATAAAATCTTTCACATATTTGCAATTCATTGTTTATACCACATTGCAGAAATAGGTCATGAAATATCACAATACATTAGAAAATGATTAGCAAGCCTTTCTGTGAATTGCAAATCAGTTTAATCATAATTGTTAACTTTACAAGAACTGAAACAAGGATTTCTGAGCCATCTGTTCTGATTTTGGCTCAGCAGTTTTCATGTAATGTTTTAGAGCTCCCAATTATGTTGAACAGAAAGATGATGTTGCTCCCTATTTCATCATGACCAGGATAAGCCTGAGTGAGTTTTCTGAAAGAAAAACACTCATGGGTTTCTTAGAAATACCCTGAGCTTGAATAGACAAAGAAAGCAGAGAATGGAGGGCAGCAGTATGATAATCTAACAAAAATAAAGAGATGGCCTGCTTTCCCTGTTACATGTTCGTCTGACATGTCTGTATAGAAAAATACTCTAGAATGAATGAAGTATTTCTGTGTTATGATGTTTTTCCCCATTAGGTTTAAGATAATTCAGATTTTATTGTTTTTTTTTAATTGTCTTAATATCTGCTGCTTATGCTGCTTATATGAAACAAAGTTTTTGATAATCACAATTTCACCTTCCCCTTTCACAAGATTGGATAATTTTCTACTTTTAGGGATTAATCAATACCTAAAAGTAACTTTAGGTATTGATCAGATTCTGGATTACAGCTCTTTATGACTATCCATGTAACTCACATCAGTCATTATTGAGTTTTTATTTCAGTGCCTCTGGAATAAAAATTATTTGCCTTTGGCAAAATAATTCTCAATCTTTCTATTCCTGCCATTTCAGGTGGAATTAGCATGCTTGTTTTTATTTTACAACATTTGAAGGGTTGCTGTTGTAGCATTGAAATGAGAAATAATTCCTATGATGAGCTCAGTGGACTCGGAGTTCCACCAGGTGTTTATAAATTGCTTGTACTGCTGGTCTGGAGGAGCTGAGTGGGGAAGCCGCTCAGCTGGAGCCTGCTGCTTTCTGGGGCTTTGTGGAAATAGGCGGCACTTTTTAGGAGCTACTAATTCAAGGATTCCTTACACATGCATGAAAGAAATCAAAGATTAATAAAATCAAGTAACGCTGCCAAGTATGTTTTTGATGAGGGAAAAACATTATTACTAAAGCTCAAAAAAGTCAATTTTACATAATACCTAACTTAAAAATACTTTGTAAAATATAGAAAACAGAACTTGGTCAGCTGTAAAAAGTAGTTTCTCAAAAATACAAAAATGCTTGGCTTTCAATACTTACTTATATGTCCATGCATGCTATGTTTATTCTTACTCATTTAGCACATAAACACATTTCCTTCTCTCTCCTAATTGCCCTTGTTTGCTTGTGTTGCATGGTACCGTAATGGATTATCTGACACAAATGCGCAACATTGCTGTTCGTTTTCATCCCTGACAGCCTTCTCAAGGGCAAGGTCACATAGAAATGCTCTTTTAAATCAGGAAAAACTGCACATTTTTGTGGAGAAGATGCTTAACATCTTCAGACATAAAATTACTCAAATTGCAAAAAACTGGGTAGTCCTTATTTAATCCCCCAATATTTCTACATTTATGTGAATTTCTTTCTCACACATTTTTTTTAATCTAACCCTCTCCAAGCACCATTGACCGTAAAGCTGAATTTTATGTCCATGGACCAAAATGATAGAGATTTGTGTTTGTAAAAAGATAAAATGACTTTGAAATTGAAATGGGGTGGAGAGGGAGGGATCTGTCTAAATGGCAAGAAGCCCGTTCACCATCCTAATAGCAACTGGCAAACAGACGGTCCCACAGGAGAGACGGTGGTTTCGCTGAGTGTGCATTCAGAATACTGATACATGAACACAGAAGCCCTCTCCGCCCAGCTGAAACCCCCTCTCTTTGCTGTTTGCCAGAGTATAATGCACAGCTGAAAACGAGCAGACACAACAATCGCCACAGACAAAACATTCAGCACAGGGTGCGAGATCAGAATCTGGGATCCCTGCATTCCAACACAGCTGATAATAAAAGAAAGTTTCACTTTGTACCTCATAATATGTCGTATTATTGGTAAATATGCACTGAAAATCAGTTCTCAAAGTTGGAAACGATTTAAGTATTGATAATCAGCCTTGATGTGTTCAGAAAATCTTAAACTTTTACTTTAACAAACAGTAGCTCTACTAGAATGAAGTTGAAATCCAATCAGGGTAAGGATAAGCATGTGGGTCATTTAGGAATGTCAAGCAGATTCACATCATTCTGAAAAGAAAATAGGATGATATGTAATAAATTACAGTGTAAAATTAATTTAAATGCCATGGTGCATTTAAAGGATATAATAAGAGACATGGGTTGGGTTGGCAGCATAAGACACTTGACGCTCATGAATCATGATTTCATCAAATGCATACCAAAGCCTGCCTTGCTTGGAATAATCGACTCATGATTTTCTTGCCTAACCTTTGACCTAACATGATGAATGTGTCTGTACTTGCAGGACGATCTCCTTTTGAAATCTCATTAAGCATACAGACACCAGCCTCACACCAATGGGGGATGGACAGAAAAAAGGTGTTACTGTTTCAATGTCAAACAAGGGACCGCTGAAACATACTCTTCCACTAGATGGTTTTGCTCACCACCTTTTCCTTTTCCAATTGGTAAACTCTGCATTTTAGACTACCTTCTACTTATGGGTTATGCTTTTAAAAAACTCATCGATGGTTAAAGTTGTGGTGTGAGGGATAAAGAGGCTTAGAAACAGGGTGGTATGGATTACAGCTGGAAGAAAATTAACATAGGATTTAGGGGAGATGATGAGTAAACAACACATCACCCACAGTGTCTTTTGTGTTGCCCACAGCATATTGCCCACTGAATTCCATTTCTTTATTCTTTATAGATGCTTTGGAAATTTAATAAGGCTATGTAATTGAGTTTCTGTGTTTCTACAGCAGATTTTTTTTTTTCCAGAAGCTCTTATAGTGCCGGCAGCTATATTAATAAGTTCAATAGACCAATTATTTGACCACTAAGCAACATCATATCATGTTAAAAACTAGTACTCATCTGTGTATCATTTTAAAGCTGATTGCAAGGCTTGTATTCTTGTCCTGACATACAACTTCAAAAATCTGACATTTCACATTGTGATTAAAAGGTATTCTGATTATATAATATAAAAACGTTTTCCTTTCTCTTTAATTATGCAATAAAGCATCATAATCAGGATTATTCATCAATCAGATTGATATTTTTGAGAAAGAGAAGATAAATAGCATATTTTCACTAAACTGATGAGTTTTGATACACAAACATCATTTATTTGCTACACTTTCAATAGAATTTAGGTTTTATATAAACGTCAATCACTGTGGCAGAGGTATTACTGAAAAAAGCCAAAATATCAATAGCCTTTTGACAAACATCTATTGAACAAAGTCCTGCCTGCACATGATTGATCACATTTATTCAATCAATTCAGTCTCTATGGATTTGCTTAAGTCTGCTTACCTTCTACAATTGGAAAGTTGGCCCTTTGGCTTTGAGTTGTGCTTGGTATGGATTCCACAGCTAAATTATTATAGATCCAGAGGGTGGTAGAGAATACTTGAGCCTGTTGTTCAGCATTACTTGTCTTAGAGAAGCCCACGTTCAAATGGCTTTGCGTCGTCTGGATTTCTGCTTTTGTGGTCGCCTCCACGAAATTTGAATCCTTCCTGAGGGTAGAAGAGAAAACTCCTGGCTCTGTTTTGGCATTCATCATAGTGGTCTCAGAGAAGCCCAGGTCTAAGTAGCTTCGTATGTGGTATAGTTCTGTTGTTGTCCTGACCACTTCTAAGTTATGATCCGTTGTGAGGGCAGCAGGGAATACTTCTGAATGTTGTTCGAAGTTCACCGTACTGGTCTCAGAGAAACCCAAGTCTAAAGGGTTTTGTGTGGGGTTAATGTCCGAGGTTGTGACTTCCACCATGGTAGGATCAGTCCTTACATAAGTTGAAGTAACCCCTGGCTGCTGCTCAGTGTTCACCAGACTGATCTCAGATAATCTCAGGTTCAAGTTACTTTGTGTGGAGTGAATTTCTGATGTTCCTTCAACTGAGTGAAGCTCAACACTGACAGATAAATCTTCTTGTTTCCCAACAAAATTACTTTCTGAAATGGCTGGAAGAGTAACAAGCCCCAGAAGGTGTGTGCTGGTTTGAATAGTCTCCACCAGTCCCGGGTTGAGTGTTGTGGTTTGCACTGTTTTCCATGTCAGGGCAGTAGGAACTGTAGTTTTTGGTGGGATTGTTGAAGAAATTCTTTCTGTATGAAAGATGGTCTCCCGGTAAACACTATTGGGGAGGGGATTTTCAGTGGCACTTGTGCTGGAAGTCGCCGCTGTTGTGGATCTCCGAGGTGTTAGCATATGCGTTGTGTTTTTTCCAGGAGTGTTACTTCTGTGAGGACTGTTTGTGAACAAAGTATTTCTGATATAGCTGCTTGTGGGAGAAACAAAAGTCTCACTGTTACTCTGAGCTATGCTGCTGTATGGCAAATCTGATGTCCCAGTGGGAGGTGGCTCAGTTCTTATCTTTGCCACACTCGTAAAGAGCCCTTGAGTCAATGTTGTGGTTTGTTGAGATTCCTCAGAATTGCTCCCTTCTCCTGATCCCGTGTGGTCTTGAAAGAGACCAATTAGTTCTGTCACCCCTGTGGCAGTTGTAGTTGAGACAGCATCTTCATTTTTGCCACCTGAGCTCCCAAAAATGCCAAATGTTGGTATGGAGGGAAACTTGGGCATGGATGGAAGCCACGAGTAAATGCCCGACTTCTCTTCAGGAGAATTTTTGCTCGATGGTGTCAGTTCCCCAGTGGCCTCTTCGTCGGCCAGAGCTCGGCTGTGAAGTAGCAAATAATACCAGAAGAAGAGAGCCATGGTCCAAAGGAATCGAAGCATACTGTCGACTGCAAAGCACGGATTGTCACATGTTGTTCTCTATTCTTCTGACCCCTGAGGCGGGTAGGGCTGGCTTCTCTACTAAGTGACCTAAAAGACAAGAACACACAGGACACTTGGTGACACACTTTCCTTCTGCAACATTTGGGTTGACTTGACTTGAAAGAGTTGGCATCAGTTCATTTGTCTTTTTCCAAGGAACACATTTGAAAGAAGAACTTTACTTAGTGGTCCACTTATATAGTAAAGTGCTGAAATTATCAAATTCATAACAACCAAATGTTGAAGTTAGATGGCAGCTAAGAATGTTATGTCACCAATTCTTAGTAATACAAAGACTGGAAATACATAAAGTAATTCAAAGTGCTTTGCAATTAAATAAAAGAAGAAACGTAAAGGAAAATGCATCGAAGCATAACATATGCAGAAAAAATGCAAAATTGTGGTGATAAAAAAAACTATCTTTGAACTACAAAGGAATTTCTAGAAAAGACTATATTTTAGGCCTGATGAGAAAAAACAATTAAGCTGGAGAATGTTCAGATTCATCCACATCCATCCATGTATGCAGTGACATGTAACTGAAAAGCAGCAGTTAAGAGATATTTTCTCTAAGCTGAGCTGGAGTACTAGAGAATTGAAGTCTGGCGAGTCAGCTTAAGAATAGGGGGACCTCCTATTCTTTTGTAAAACATTACATGGTTTAAAGTCAGCAGCGTGTTGCCTCAGTGAAAAGATTGGAGCACCAAAGGAATTTCCCCTGGGAGAACAACAACCTGTGTGCTTCAGCTGTATTTAACTTCCTCTGAACATACCCAGGCTTTGGCCTTGTTGTCTTTGAATCTAAGATTTATTCGTTATTTCAAACAAAGATATTTGTGTGGGAGTGATAAAAATAACCCATCAATATTCCCAGAAATCTGCAACGATTATGAAGCTCTCTTCTCTTTTAATGTTTTGTCTTTTTCTGAATGATTTTTTTACTCTTTCAACCTATTCTTTTTGATTTGCATCTTATTTTTGCAGTTTCATGTCATGTTTCTTTAGTGTCTTAAGTACATTATTTTCCTTTTCAAAGACTCATAAATTAGATCATTTATGAGCCAAAAAAGTCTCAGTGGTCAGTAGACTACCTGTGTAACCACCCATTTCTCCATGTACTTTTTACCTCAAGAGATGAACGACACTTTCTTACTAAAAGTCTGAACTCTGACCAACAGAGGATTAAACAGAGCTTCCCACACATACTCTACTTTTAGCACTTTGATTGAGCAGCATGAAGATCAGTTTCCATAGGGGTAATGCTTATTTTTGGTAGTCATTCGTTGGAGCTTGCAGTGACCAACCTGCGCGCTGTTCAGACATGCAGAGATGTGATTGTAGTTGAGATTGGACTTCAGTCTGTATGTTTGCACACTGTGTACTTATTTGCTTGTACTGTTCTGTAGTTGGTGTAAACACCCACGCATGCTCTTCCTTCTGGTTTCTTCAGAGATTTTGTCCACAGCTACAAATACAAGTAAACAGCAAAAGGAATTAATGTATTGAAGTAAATTATATTTTCTCTCCAGTTGCTCTGCCATAAAATATTTATCACTAAAACAGCACAAGGTATGTATAATTTAGTCTGGCTAACATTCTCACATTTCACTAGAATCACTTTAGTTCATCTTAAAGTGAAGGAAAGCTCAACAAAGGTGGAAAACACAATGCAGGATGGATTCAGCAAATAATACTCAGGTTTTTTCCATTATGTTATGTTACCCAATGCACATGGAAAGGCAGTACCTCCATTTATTTATCTTTGGGGGGCAGTTTCTTTTCACCTCAGCAGGTTTGTCGTCTTCCTGCATCTCTGGCATATCTGTACCTCGTCAAGCCTTGTGATATTCTGAATTATTACGACTATGGGACTTGTATATGACAGTAGTAATTTGGGAGCAGTATGACAGACATTTGCATCCTTAGTGTTTGCATCCTCAGCAGTATTGCCAATCTTTGGGTTATGTTTTGTAATATCCCTATTAAATTTCTGAAACATACTCCAGATTCCAAGTTTGACCTTAAATGTTGAACAGGAGTGCATAGTGGTGCCGATTTGACTTTAAGTCAAAAGTTTGTGGGTTATAATAAATTAGGATAATGAGAGTCAAATTGCACAAACAAACTTGTTTGGGAAAACTGTATTTTTCCACTTCATCTTGATATTCCAAGTTTTGCTCAGTCTGTAAGTTTTTGAAATAGAGCATCTTTAGTCCCCAGGGCTGCTTGTTCATTTATTAACAAGCAAGTCAACTTGCTCAGGCATCAAACATTTTATTAAGAATATAAGCACACCTTTACGTTTTGTTATATAAGGACTCGATGACCCTTAGATGCATTCCTGAAATACTTAAACAAGTTTACCACATAAAGTAAAACCAGCGATACTAGAAGAAGAAACTATTCTTGACCAAGCCAAAGAAATTAAGATTATGGAGTTAAATTATATTGCAGTGTCATCTAATAATGATGAATTGCTAAATTACCTGTCATAAAGAATCAGTTTGATTGTCACATCAATCATTTTGAGTAATGAAGTCCAAATAGCTTCCTCATTAGCTACTTACCATCCTTCTTTTTTCAGCAATCACCCACCACATCTGACTCATGCCTGGTTAAGTTGTGGTCGTAAATGGAACTAAAGTGTCAATCAGGAAATTAACCACATACCTTCTGGTATTTTGTCTCCATTTCTCAGATGGAATGATGAATCTGATGCTGTGCTGCGTTCAGTGAAGCAGAGGTGCACAGAGCAAACAATACCAGCAGCAGAACACGGGCAAAAACTCAAACCACCATGTTATTATTCTATTGTATACTTATCAATGCAAGAGAGAAGCTCAACACTGCAGCAGTCTCTGTCATGTGCATCTTTGCTTGCCAGAGTCTTTCTGTGTGTTTATCAGAATCCCTTTTTTATTCACTTTCTGAGCTCAGGCAGCCATCTTGATCATAATCTGCCCTCATCTTGGTGTAGTCTATTTCTGTATGGATGTTTGCTTTTCTTTTGTTTTACTGATCTGGTGTCAGAATTTTTGCCTCTTTAGGTCTTTCACAAATCTCAATGCTGCAGTTGTAGTTGCTCTTATTTAAAGGGGAAAAACATGATCACATATTTCAAATTAGTACGGAAAATGTCATAATGTCATAAAACCTGAGGTGAAACAGAGAGAAACATTATTAAAATAGAGCTGTTTGTCTTTGCTGACTGGCTAAAACTGAGACTCTACAATCCAAACTAAGAAGATCTGACAGTTGCCCATGTCCTTAGTTTTTAACAAACCTGCTCTTAGCTGGTTTGTGTATCAGTGAACTGTCCAGTATAATGGAGTAATTCACCTTCCTGCAAGTGGCTACTGCTGTGGATGATAGTTGTCTTTTTTCCTGCATGTGTGGGTGTGCATATTTACAAGCAGTACTTTTTTCACTCTAGTATTATTTCCATGGTTATATGTAAGTGCTCTTGCATGTGGGCACACATGTTTTTGTTTTTTTCCCTCATGGTCTTGCATGTTTTTAAGTAAGGCTTTTTTAACTTCACGGTCTTCCATCTAGTGACCTTTTCCAGATGTCAGTTCTGCAAATATTCAAAGTGACTGGGTGTTTTAAACCAGCAGGGAGGTATTTCATGTCAAGTGTGGGAAGTCTTTTGAGTATTAAGCATTTATTCCTAAGACAAAATAGTAGAAAATAGCTGTTGTGAGAAAAACACATAGACTTGAAAAGCTTTCTGAAGTTCTTTTTAGTTTATCAAACCTAACATATGAAAGATATGATTGTAAATTTGCCCCACTCGATTTTAAACTAAGTGGTTAATGTTTTGTAAACAGCAGCAACACAATGCCCTATTTATTGCCCAGACATTACCATAAACATCGATTAGCTCAGACATTCCAGATTCGTTTTGCACTTTAGAATGAATCATTGCGCTTCCCCCTGAGTAAAATCATTAATACTACTGAGTTATTACCCCCCACTATGTTTATAACAAGATTGAAGTGAATTAAAACATGACTTAGGTTCCCCAAGATTTTAAAATGTGTCTGTAAATGAACTTCAACAGCTTTTTAAACATAATAGAGGCATTTAAAAGTGTATGCAGTGAAAATCAAAATGTAAATATAACTCAAACAAGTTCTTCCATTTTAGTAGACATACAAAGGAAAATTCTCAGTTTTATAGTTTTATTGTTAACATTCTAAACTGCAAGTTTAATTTGTTTCTGGTGCTTGTGTTTGAGCTTAGGCCATTTGCCCCTTTGCCAATTTCTACTCAGCACTTCATTGCAAGTTTATCCCTCTTTACTGCCAGATTGAACCCAAGTCAAGTTTTCCTCAAGATATTTTACCTCAGTTGATGTTTTTGTTGTGAACAGAACCACTTATAATGTTATTGGCAACAAATTGTCATTAAAATCTATTTTTATACAACTCCAGTTCTGAAAATGCCATGATGGTTTCTTGAAACACTATTTTATGAAACAATTAACCATAATGATGCTTTGAGGGATGATTATATTTGCATTAGGCTGTTATTTACACAGAAGTTGATGATTATTAACATTGGATGTGGTGAAGGAAGGAACCACAAACACAATAACCTAATTCCTGAGTGAAACACATGCTGAGGATGGAATTTGTAAGGCACTGTGAACTGATTTGGGACTAATTTCTCTTAAATTCTCAGTTCTTTATTTTTTTTTCTTTTAATTTGCTAATGCTGCCTTGACGTTTTTGAGTCTGAAGTTGGTATTTTAGTTGGTGGCTAAAATATGTAATATATGAACAGTTTGTACCTTTTTATCAAAATTCAAAACATAATTCTGAACTACCTCTATAAGCTCTCTTACAACATTTAATGAATTATTTTCTTTTGTTAGGTTAGCATTTTAACACAAGGATTAACTATTGAATGCTGTCTATAATTCTGAGTTTAGTCGCACTTTAAACTATATTATTTATTCTTATTAGAAGTGGTAATAGTAGCACCAGCGGTACTATTAAAGTAATATTAACGAATTTTGAATGAAGAAGATTGCAATAATATATTTAGAAATAATTGTTTGTTGCTATGTGCAACCACTTACATTTTCACAAGACTGTAAAATGTAACATTTTGCAATGTATTTGACATTTTCCATGTTTATTATTACTCAACAAAGAATTTAATATGCAGCCTTTAGTTTGATCAAAACCTAGTCTTAAACAGAATTTTATCTTCCACATCAGAGGTCCAATAATCAACTCATGAGTTGCAGCGGATCTACAGATTGAATTATGCAACCAGCTGCACTCAATAGTCTCTGGACATTATCGACCCTAATGAAAGCTGCTATCTTGTCGAATAGTAAAAGAAAAACAAAAAAAATAATAAGACACTGTTGTTTCTGAAAGGTCTGCGCCAGAAGTTAGACTCTAACAGGTGACTTAACTACAGTTAGCTTTACCGCCCGACTCCCTCTGTTTACAAACAAGATTTATTTCTTGCGTTTTCTTGGGCACGTGCAGCTCCATTTAGTACATACAAGGTACCATTTAGAGTGAGATGCTAAACATTTCTTATGAATTAATACATAATGTATTCTGATTTTTAAAAAATATATTTTGAACACAGCTTGAGTGTGACATTTATTGATTCGGGTAGTCACTTCGGTTAATCTCAGCTCTGATGAATGCACTGAACATGATTACTTTAAAGGATGCTCTCCAGCACGGACGTTCCACTGGCTGCCTTTGCCATGGTGACAGCCGAAGCCAAAGACGCTGCGGTAATCTGACAGATCTGAGAACCATTTGGGTTTTTCTGCTGCGTTTGAAGAAGTGTAGATTTTGTTCTTGATTGCAAATGGTTAGTTTCTCATGCAGTTCATCTCAACTAGAATGTTTCCTGTTTCGCTGACATCTAAACAGATGCACATGCTTGCAAATATTCCCTTCACTGCTTCATTGAAAATGGGATGAGCAGTCATGGATACACCATAACCATGGATTTACATGCTAATGAAATATGTTACCATGGTTTTTCTCCAAATGTCACACTGAGAGGCACTGTCATTAACCTTGTATGATAGCTTATAGAAATGATTTCATCTTACCAATTTATCATTCTTTATTTATCAACACACCGGCAATTTTCTTACATTTTTGAGTAGATACATTTAGTTTGTGTATGTCAGATTTTTTTTTACCTGCTGTGTTATTGCAGCTGTTTGTTCTTCAGTATCTACAAGATTCAGTATGACTCAAACCCATACGTTCCATATCCTTAAAGGCAAGCCTGATAAAATAACCATCCAGGGTTGAACAGAGACATTTAAGAGGACAAGAGAATGTCAGCTGCTTACCTGCAGATGTATGTAGTAAGATGGAGAATCCACTGCAAGCGGTGTAAGGACGAGAGTGAGTGTGTTGCAGGCGAGATGGCTTTTTGCGAGCCTCTGTGGGTTTGTCTGTGTGGAATAGAGTTCCAGTCTCCCTCCCTCCCTCCCACTCGCTCTCTCTTTTCTCTCACTCTCTCTCACTCTCCCCCTGTTGGTCTCTGTCGCTCTCACTCACTGCACGGCTCCCCGTTATAATGCCCACGGTCACACCTCACTGAGCAAATTGTTCATCACCAAAGATCATCCACCACCGTGGACACGGGGCGCACGGTTAAAACAACCTTGGCTTAGGCAAGCAAGCTTTCTGCAAATGAAATGCAAAGCCTACACATTCATATCCCCAACCTCAAAGCTGCTGACCTTAGCATGCAGTTATGTTTTTTTAAAGCATAATATTGAAATCAAACGGCACATAATAATGACTTCTCACAATATAAACAAAGTAGAGCTAGGTAGATGAAATTGCTTCATATGTCAGAAATGGAAAAAAAGGGCAATATTGTTAGATGTTAAGCATTGAATGGCAGAATGACTTTCTTGCATAGTTTGGCATTTCAATTGCATTTCAGAATAACATCACAGAAATGCATGAGAGAAAAGAAACATTTAAATTTGTAATTATTCTATTTCTGTATAACTCATACATTGATTTGGCTCTAATATTTTAATTGAAATTGGATCATTTAAAACATTTTTTAAAACAAAAAAAGTTTAAAAAAAGTTTTAAAAAAAATTTAAAAGTTTAAAAAAATATTTAGTCAATTGTAATTAGATCACAATCTTTGCTTATTAAAAGCTATTCCTCTAGCTATCCTGATGCACTAAAAATATTTATCTACAAGTAAACTTAGCAATGATGAGACAATCATAATAACTATTTCAGGCAGATATTAGGTTGTAAACTGTACAGCTTAATGATGATTGATATAAAGATTAAAAAACAAGGGTCCAAGGACCCATTCTTGTGGAATACCTGTATATATATTCATTGTTTTTAAATTGTTTATATATTCAGTTTAATATGATAATGCCTGTATATTTTATTTTCTATTTTTTAATTAATATTCTAGAATCATATTTATTTATAATTGTATTAATCTACAAAGGTACACGAATTAGAAAGTATATATTATGTAAGGTCCAGTTCACCTTTGGCACAGTTTGATGCATTGTGTTGAAATTTGAACAACAAACTTATCTCTGATGAGATCTGAAGTGTGCAGTCAAAGGGTGTTCCTCTCCAAACTCTTTAGCAAAATAGTCTGAACATCTCTGGACAAATGATCCCCAGGAATTTCAAATACAGAACAATCAGCAAAGTAAGGAAACATCATTTCCTGAGCAGTGGCTGAGTGCTCCCAGCAGTGCCAGAGCCCACTCCTCAGTCTCCCTGGGTCCCCCCAGCTGAGGGGAGATCGCCTTGATAACATGCTTCACCTTGACTCTCCTTTCTATTCTTATCACCTTTGTTTTAGCCCCGTCACACTGAAACCTCATTTCCCCTGTCTGAGCACTTTCTTCAAATGCATTGGATTGCCATATCAAATAATTGAATTTCTAGCGCATTATTTTGACGTCTGAAAGCACGACAGCCCAGATACTGTTAACGGATTCTCTTTTCCTCGTCATATGTTCTGCCAAGCAGGCGGGAAGCATAAAATGAAAGGATCCAGAACGATCCATGCTTTTCAAGAAAATGATATTCATTGTTTAGAGATATTTTTCTAGATTTCAGCCTTTGCTCCACAGCAGAGACTGGTGTCACAGGTAAGGCTAAGCTTAGGGCAGACATAAATATTTAAGCTATGAACTGTGCCAGAGGACAGCGTTAATATAACAAGTACTGCAAGTGTTTCAGACTGCATTAATACACACACTCACATTGCCTTTATTTGAGTTCCCTTGTGATGGGGGGCAACAAAAGGACAAGTAATTCTTTGAAAATGTTTACATTTGAACAAAACTCTTCTAACACGGTTAATGACATAAAATAAAATTAATGTTTCAATTGTACAACATGCCACTGTTTGTGTATTTTTATTTTAAAAATTAAGTAGTACAAATAGCACCATGACAGTTGTTGTAGTAAAAAATATGCCCATGCAGATATTGCAATTGGAGCTTTTTCTATAATTTGGCAACTCTTTAGAAATGATCATGAAAAATATAATCTATATAAGATAATTAAAAAGGCTGCTCTGTGAAGCTACTGCCAACAATATGCTGGGTAAGAATCCTGGTTTTGGGGTTTGCATGCAGTGCATCTCGTAATTGCCCTCAGATATGAGTGTGTGTCTCAGTGTTGCACTGCAATGGGACAGCAACTTGTCCAGGGCGTCTCACCGAATGAAGCTCGCACCAGTCACCTATCACACACATTCCTCATCAATGTGACAAACTGTTCTGTACCTTACTGTGTGTTTTGTGCCTTCTCAAGTCTTTCTGGGGTCTTTAGGACAGCATTAGGCGTGCTGCATTTGTGTGGCTGTCCTTTCTCCTTGAACATGCCGCTGGCTTCAGCTGACGGAAAGTGCAGGACAATGGGTGATTGTGAGGGTCAAAGGGAGTTCCTCACAAAAATGGAGACAACAATGGGCACTCACAATAGTGTATGGGCATTTGTGTAATTTTGTACATTAAAATTATCTTATCAAGATCTTACAATTGCCGAAAATAATTGTTCTCTGTTCAGCTGGTACTTAACTTTATTGAAAGCATATTTTTGTGTCTATTTTTCCCACTATTTCTGTTATCATATCCTAAATACCAGTGAACTGTTTCCCCCCAATAAAAGCAAAACTTGTGTACAAACACCAAAATATTGTAAAAGGGATTTTAAATTGTATTTATCATTATTTTAGGTTAAAAAGATAACCACACTTCTCTCTCTGATGAACAGTGACACACATTGGCTCCAAAAGCTACGTGTCTTTAATTGTGTGTTCAATGTAAACTCTATTCTACGAAAAGGAGGAGAAATTGTTTTAGACAGCAGGATTCAAGATGTAAAAAGTTGGCGAAATACTAGGAACACCTGGAGATAAATTATGAAAATATTCTGCCAATATTCTGTTTCTTTTTAGATGTAAATTCACCTGGATTCTTCTAATAAAACCTGCAATGCATGAGTAAATTGATGAAGAACTTCCATATGGATTTAACATGTTATATCCATATGAAGTATCTGGATCATGTTGCATCATAACGGTGCATTGTCATTTTTTATTTACAAAATGATATGTTCTACATATATCCTAACAGATGATATGCAAAGGCATGATTCTAATCAAATAGCATTGAAAAACAAAAGTTAAATTCAGTTAGATATGTAAATAAGTATCTTGAAAGATGCATAGACAATAAATTTGCCTGGAATGAATATAAGCAGAATATTTACGTATTTACTTAGATAAAGTTCACTTGTGAAATTGTGTGTTACCTAAACTCAGTAGAAATAAAGACTGTCCAATGAAGCCTGCGTCATGAAGACCAAGACACATGGCAGAAAAAACAGGGATATGGATGTGGACAAGTTTAAAGACCTGTAAACTACTGTTTACAGGCACTGCATCCAGTCTAATTGAGCCTGAACTATTTTACAAAGAACATAGCCATTATCCAAAACATCCTTTTCTTTGTGTTGGTTCGTCACACATTGTGCTTCCCAAACTTGTGACTAAACGGGACAAAGTTGTAAAAATTCTCCAACGGACTGACTGGATTTGGCGTACACGTCTGGTGTTAAGTGCTTCAGGCTCAGTCAGATCCAGAGGTTTTTTTTTCTGATTTATTATATTTTGTTATGCCCTTCCAGCACAAAACACCATAAAGTGTGTTAATATTTCTAGTTGGGTCTTGTTATATTTTCCAAACTGCACTTTGTATTTCCTCTTTGTAACCTCAAAATCATAATTGCTAAGTAGTTATTCAGATATTGCAATACTTTGACAGCTCAGGTGCGATGTGCTGGGTTGATTTCATTGTGCAGGTGAATTGTCTGAAGAAAATGTGATGCTGGGTGAAAGTATGATTGAGTGACAAGAGCAAAAAGGAAAAGACTGAGAAAAAGCAGGAAGCTGAAGTGGAATTTCCACACCCTTATGTGGGTGGACCCCGCTTGCATTAAAGAACGGAGTAGGCACATTTCCCCCTATGTCCCCTCTTTTCCTTCTATGTGTTCCCCTGCCTCCCTACTTTCTCTCTTTTCTTGGATAATAGAGGCCATGTTGAAACAATACAAAAAGGAAAGGCTGTGGGATGCTGTGGCAGCAAATGGAGAGGTGGTCCTCACAGCCTTTCTTTAGAGGGTAAGATTTAAGGGGGTTTGCAGGGGTATGTATAGAAAATTGGCAGGGATAAGGGAGAAGGGCTATTTAAAATAATGATGTAAGATGGAAATCAGGGGCGTAAAGCAGAGGGAGGGGGTGCTGGTGTAAAACGTACTGCAAAAACATGGCCTGGGAAGGGCAAGAGTGATGTTTTTGTGGAACTTGAATGTTTTCCTAGCTGGCTGAGCCTAAAAGTGATCATGTTGCATCATAAAAAAACATCTTTTCCTTTTGCTCAAATATAACTTAATTAGCAATAGTGTTTTGGCATGTTGACTTTTCATGTAATAAAATGCATTTATCAGAAGTATTACAAGAATATAATGAAGATTTTATTCGACAATTTTATGTGGAAGAGTAATTTCCACTTAAACTTAATAACTGGAAGACTGCCATTTGTAGCAACAAAATCCATCAATAACAGATATTTTAGGTCCCTGTGAATAAATCTTATTTTTAATAAATCTTACTTTTCTTTGCAAAATGTGACACTTAAAACTTTATAGTGCACAACAACTTATTCAAAAAAGAAATTCCATATATCACACATAATATTATGGTCTCTGACAGATTAAGATAATTGGTGGGATATGTTGGGAATCAAGTTATCATTTTGTCCTCAGAGTTTATGAGTAACAAGCAGAAAACTGGGCAAGCATAAGGATTTGAGTGAATTTCATGTGACCAAAGTGTTGTGTTCTGAAAATAGTTTTCAAGTTTGCAT